ATAATCTTTCCCTAGCTGCTGCAAATGAATCATTAAATCAAGTTGAACTTGAGAATCATATCAGAATAATCTGTTCATGATTTTTTTTTTACGGAATCGGCTTAAAAATCTGAAAGTTATGACTCAAAGAATGTGCAGTATTTGAATGCTCCGGTCCTCATCCATTCTTCAGAATTTCTCCTTTCTGCTTAAAAGAAAGTCATACAGTTTTGGAATGACATGAGGGTGAGCAAATGATGGCAGAATTGCCATGTCAGGGTGTGAAGTGTCCCTTTAAATCCAGAATAAACCCATGATCAGTACAGAAGCAATGCTATGACAACAGGATTGCTAAGAAATTGCATCTTGTCTCATGGGAAAATGCATAAATAATACTGTGAAATCCTCTGTATTTTCTTCCTTACTTTCTTGAGAATAAAAAAGCTATAGCTTTAAAAGCTCTTCAGAGACTGTTTCTTAAAATATTTCAAACACGATGAAATCCATTACTGTTTCAACACATTTGTTACATTTTTGATGTACCCACACACCTGTGGTCTTACGCATTTAAATGCATTTTTACGTAAAATATTCATCGGGTAGAGCGCAGACCATAAGCTTTGCAATATTAAAATATTCACATTATAAGGCAAAGGAAAGGTTTGACCATAACCTACATATATTTCAACTCTCATTCTGCATATAACAAGATTTAAAGTACCCATTCACTCCTAGAATTTGAATGAGTTTGCGCACAAAGGCATTATTAATTCAAATATTCCTATTTAAACAGCATAGCCTTGCTGTTGCATAATAGCTACTTGCCCCAACCCTACTGATCCGTAGCAGGAACATGATCACTAATGAGCTTATGGAAATCCAAAGTTCCGGATAAAAAAAGTGCTTTCAGGTCTTAATGAATATACCGAGAGCTGAATTAAGATTTGAAAAAAAAAAAGAAATGCACCGGCATATATTCCCCTGCAGTTGATAAACTCTCGGTAACCACTGAAATAGCTGCTTGGCCAGTCCCTTTCCCCTGTGTGCGGTTAGCAGCGCTTGGAATATTGGCATAACAAAGACCATTTATCAGATCCAGCATCTGAACATTGCACCCGCCAACGAGAGCGTACTGTAAATACTGTAGTTTTTGTGGTAAGCCAACGATAACGCAAAGCTTTCACTGTGATAAAAGAGCGCTGTTAATGCATGACAAATGACAGATTCTGCTTCACCGTACTCTTGATTGTTATGAATTACTTAAGAGCCGTGACTTTTCTAAGCACCTATATTCATTTCCGCTGTCACAAGAGCAAATAAGCCAACAGTTTAGCTCTCTTTCAACAACTGCCATCTATCATTACGTTGTGTGTGGCGGTTGGAGTGCCTATGAATCAGGGGCAGTTTCATGAGGCAGAGGAGCTTGGAGTGATCTGTAACACTGTGTCGAAGCCTTGCAGGCTGACTGTTAAGAGCAGGCGCTTAGCCCCTCCGGCGACTTGTGAACTGTCATTCCTCCTGATGGGCCAGCTGCCCTCTCTCTAGTGATAAAGTCAATGCTGATCCGCTGACTCGCAGTCGATCACCATCCGACTCCGTATAGATTTGCAGGGCAAACACGGACTTTTTTTAACTGCAAGAACATGCAGAGAAAATGTTCCAGAGCTGTTCTCCGAAAATGCCTGACAAAACCGAAAACAATGTGCTTGTGTTTGCAAATGGGCACGTATTTATGCTGCTGTTGACATTTAGAGGGGCATTTTAGCACTTGGTGCCGTGCTGAGATCTAAACGTGTTTCAGTTTGGCAGAGCAAAAGGGCTTGTGTGCTTTTCTTTTCTAGAATTTGCTCCATCTGGGCTCATTTAAGATTTTTGGGACATGTTTTTACTAGAACTTATAGCAATTCTAATTCTTAATCTAGTTAATTGCATGTACAGTTTATTAATTGAGGCTTAGAAAATATTGATGTATTACGTATATTATTATGTTATTATCTGGGCTCATTTAAGATGATTTTTTTGACACCTTTTGTTTTTACTAGGACTTTTAATCAACTCTAATTTTTAATCAAGTTAATTGCATGTACAGTTTTTTAATTTCATTCATTTGGAGGCTGATATATTACATTATTGTGCACATGAAAACATCTTTGGAATTCACATACTGTACGGGTCAGGTGGCATGATTAATTGTTACTTTTTATTGTGTTATTTTTTTTATTAATTGCTCTAAATTAATGTGTTAAAATGAACAGACCTCATACAATATAATGAAACTGTTGCACAGGCCTCTGTAGGCTCCACATTTTAAATCTGTTTGTACAGAAAGCGGAAATCACAGTGAGTTGAATGGATGGAGGACCCACTGAGAGAGCATTGGAGCTGTGTGAAGACATATTACAGTCCGAAAGGTCTGTGACAAGAACACAGTAAAAACAATGATGAATTCAGCACACTGGTCAGTCTTTCCCTTTTTGCTGGGGAAATGTCTGAGGTGGCGTGACCTTCCATGAATGATAATAGCTGTTCTGTACCGAAGTGTAGAACCGGAGAAAAAGGCTAGCTGTGGAGGCACAGACTTAATTACCCATCCAGAGGTCGAGAAGGTGGAGGTGGCATGAAACAAATGTAAAGAAAATATGACTACAGGACTCTGGAGGGCAACCGAGCGGCTGCAATATTTCAGCAGAGGTATTCAGTTCTCTCGCATGATTTGTGGTAATGAGGGTGAGTGCCTGAACAATAAGAGAGGCAATGTCAAAAAAAAAAAAATCATAACTACTTTAAGGTAATATATATTTATATAATAGCGAGCTATAAAACTTTTTTATTTTTTATTTTTTCATATTATCGAAGTAGAAAACATTTGTGGTGCTTAATGTTTTCTTGGAAACTATGATATTTTTTTTTGTATGTTCATTTAAAATAGAAATATGTTGTAACATTAAAAATGTATTTCCAATCACTTTTGATAAATTATTGCATTCTAATCTTAAAAAAAAAAAAAAAAGTATATATCATTGCATATAAACAATATGCAACAATAAATGTTTGCTACATTGTTGTGACTTCCTATGTGACCATGGACCACAAAACCAGTCACAAGGGTCAATTTTTTGAAATGGAGATTTATACATCATCTGAAAGCTGAATAAATAAGCTTTCCATTGATGTATGGTTTGTTAGGATAGGGCAATATTTGGCTGAGATACAATTATTTGAATATCTGGAATCTGAGGGTGCAAAAAAAAAAGAAATAAAAATACTGAGAAAATCGCCTTTAAAGTTGTCCAAATGAGTTCTTAGCAATGCATATTATTAATCAAAAATTAGGTTTTGATATATTTACGGTAGGAAATTTACAAAATATCTTCATGGAACATGATCTTTACTTAATATCCTAATGATTTTTGGCATTAAAGAAAAATCGATAATTTTGACCCATACAATGTTTTTTTGGATATTGCTAAAAATATACCCAAGCGACTTAAGACTGGTTTCATGGTCCAGGGTCACACATTGCATTCTAATTTGCATTTTGAGTATTTGAAAAGATGCCTTAAATTATGACAATCTTATCTCATTTTGAGTTTTGTATTTTAGTATTTAATGTAGAATTTAATTTTATTTGTCATATGGAATATAGAAGGTCAAGTTGAGTGCATTGCATTGTGTGCATTCAGCACCCAGTACCCAGTTTTCTGTTGTATACTGCACTACTTCCATGCATTCTTGCAGAAATTGTATGTAACAGAAGTTGTATGGTAAGATCTAGTATTAATATGATTGCTTCCTATTTGCTTATGCATAGTATGTTAAAGTTTCCACTATAATTGGTTAAACCAAACTCCAACTGATCGTGAGATATTTATTTCATTAGAATCGGCCGTTTATGGTTTTTAAATAGCAGCGGTGACATGCTATTACACTAACATTAAGTAATTTCCGAGGGAAGATTTGACCCAGCAACAAATAGATGAGTAACAATCATGCTATTAATGCGTCATCTAGAGTGGTTCAATTTGCAGTCAAATAGATAAGTAAGAATGTATGGTTTAGGCAGGCTGAGATGGCCCCCAAAGCTAATCACCATAATTAAGCAGGTGGTATTTTCTCTTGCCAATATTTCACCGACATCAGCCACTGAGAGCTTTAGAGCATCGAGGCAACTCTGAATAATTGATGCCGCTTGTGAGCATTTATAATTTACGCCTTCATCCATCTGAGAAAGATTGCAAGGCAGTGTCGTTGAGGAATTCTCTAACATTGGGTTTATCCTGCACATCTTGTTAATGGCAGCTGTTATTGCTTCCACGGCCACCCTATTTATCGAAGGGCTGTAGCAACACCTCGCACCTCAGTAGCAGCAAAATGCCGATTCAGATGAGCTATATGAATTCATATTCCTTTGGGTGTCTTTCATTGGAGCTGAGTTCACAGTCGACTCACTGTTTTCTATCATATGTCATGCTTTTAATGAAACTAAATGAGATTTTTCTTTAAATGAAAACAGGGGAAACAAACAAGAGCAGCTAACAAGTGTTTCCATAAGCCATTGTTAGGCTATCTATCGATTCTTCAGGGGGGTTATCATGTTGGCTGTTCCACCAGGATCTTATTCATTTATTCGGTGCAGCCGACTGTAAAACCATCACTCATCGATGGTCTCAGTGAGTTGTCGACTCGAGAACAACTGCAATCGGTTCATTCTAATTCGTGAATGAATCGTTTGGTGCGATTTGCGAACCGATTTTAAAAGGTTAATTGAAAAGAATCAGTTCGTTCTTGAATCAGACACCGCTTCTGCGTGTCGGAGCACGCGATATATTATAAGGAGTAACGATATGTTTTATGAAATGTAGTGAAGTAAAAAGTACGATCTTATGCTTTGGAATTTAGTGAAGTAAAAGTAAAAGTTACTCAAAATAAAACTACTCCAGTAAAGTACAGATACTTGAAAAATTTACTTAAGTACAGTAACGAAGTAAAACTACTCCGTTACTGTCCACCACTGCTTTCTGGCACCTGTCTATGCATCTGTATTGCATATTGCCATTGATCTCTCTTTCTTTCTTCCTCTATCAAATTTTAGTTTATGACATTTTACCCTAAAACTTTAACGCTATTCTATTGCCTTGAAAACATTGATATTTGTTTCTGCAAATGCACATCTAGTTGTTTTGTGAAATGAAGCCCATACTTTAAGCTTATCAAAAGCAGCAATATTTTCCAAAGCTTTTCCTTCCCAACTGCATTTCCTTCCTGAGAAATGAAACTTCAAGTGCACTCCAGGGGGAAAGTGGTCTTGCGATTTGTGCGAGGAATACTGAGTTCGGACATTGATTTCCTTCTAAATTTCTTTCCAAGTCTGTTACTATAACTAGTGCTTCAGGTTAAGCTTAGCTGACAGGCTGGAACCAACATGTGGCCCCTGGGCGGAGGGTCCCAGGTTTTTGTTACTGGGAAATATCTACAGAACTTTTGCATTGCACATAGATCAGGAAAAGAGATTTTAATGCACTCAGTCTAATTTGTTATACATTTAGATGCTACATTAAATATTTAATATAGAATTTGTCATTCATCACATTATACAGTTATTTGGATCTTAAAAATTGTTTATAACCCTCAAGCATTGGTGGATGCAAACAGATGGAAGCTAAAATTGTTCTAGTCAAGTTCTATGAATAGTCTTTGTGAGCATACTCAAAACCGCCTAGAGGAAGTTCTGAGGGAGATGGAGTCATACTCCTTTCTTTTCTCTAGGGTAACAGTGTCCTCCTCACGTGTCCATGGTTTCTCCTACGCATTGAGGCTATCAACATCTGTTCCTCTCCCATATTCTATGTTGAGATCTGGCTGTTCCTCATGAATGGAGAATCAGGGTGCTTTAACACTCTGCGCCAAAAGCTCAAGTTTGTTTGTTTGGTGTGATAGCGAACTCTTGAAAAGTACATCTGAGGTGTGGTTCTTGTGAACTCATGGTTCAGAGTTGGAATAAATTGCGGAAGTGAACCGCTGTCGATGACGAGTAATTGCCACCTTTGCATGCTTCCAGTCACACATACTGTAGACCATTTCTTTCAGGATCCGTTGTAGAAAAATCCCACTTCCCTTCTTCTAACAGGCACAACAGGGCTCAAAAACGTGTGTCCAAACACATTTTGCATGACTGTAGATGTGCAGTGCATAATGGATTAACTCATTAATGCATATGTTAGTTAAATAACGTGATCCAGAAAATCTTTGTTCTTAGAGCTGCTCTGGTGCTTCAGAATGGAGAGCAAGTTTCATACGAATTGCATTCGCCAGTAGGAAAGACAATCAATTTGGAAGAGAGGGAACATTTAAAAACCATGAAATGAAAAATGGGCTTGCATTTATAGAGAGCTGAATTAATAAGAAACTACTCTGTTTGGAATGTAATTGTGGAAGTCATATTCGTCAAAAGAAGAGCTAAGAAAAGTAGTCAAAAGTTCATTTTCTAAAGGTCATATTTACTTTTGCTGATAGAAAATCCCATGTAATTCATACCATGACTTTCAGAATTTTATCTATTTATAGTTTGTACAGACAGCTATAAAATATATGGAGTAAACACTGAGACTTGGTCTGTGAATTGGTCTGTTTGTTTGAGCAGCTGGAGACATCAACAGAAGCTGTGACTTTAGGACTGGTCTATGTCTAAATAAAATTGTTTAGATGTAACATATACAGTACATTGCAAAAATTACATCATATTTTACTATATGCTTTACCGGTGCCTGTTTGTTTGTTTTTATCTTATTTATATTTATTTTATTATTTTTATTTTTGAATTTTTCAGACATATCTGTATATATATATTTTTTAATTATTATAATTGTTAATAGTGTACTTACATTTGGTGATGCTAAAAATGCAGCTTTACGAATATTTGGGTTAGTCTTGAATATGGATCCAAAATGTTATTTATAATCATTATTTTAATCTCTAACCATAATATAAGAGTGTTTTGGTTGGATGTAGTGAAGGTTGCATAATGGTGATATAAAACGACAGCTTTAAGATCAAGCAGAATCCACTGTCTACTGGTTGCATCAACAGTCAATCAATTTAACGCCCAATCGATAAATTGTAATCCTTATATGGCTAGCACTCACTGGAGAAACATTATATCACCTAATTAATATTCATGAGCCATGTTTATAATGTGTCCCCCACTTTTAAGGTAATTCCCAGGATACCGACTACTCAGATTTTGATATTGTGACAAATCTAGCTGTAATATGTTAGTATACAAAGTACTTCAGAAGAAAAATGCTAATAGCATCTCCAAGATGTAACTCATTGCTGGTGGTTGGATATGGACAGAAGGAATCGTGACAGTTATGTGCATTTATTCATGCTTTATGTTTTTATTCATGCACCATATAAAAGGCCCCATTATGAAACTTTAGATATCCAGACCATTCCCACAGCTGCATTTAGAGGATGCTGGACGGATGGCGTGAGACTTGAGGGCTGTGATATGAATAACCATGAGTGTCACTGCAGTGCCATGCCATCTACTTATAGCTTCGTGGGAGTGTTTGCACATCTGTCCAGGGCGTAGAGAAAGAGCAAGTGCCAAGACGAAAGAAAAGGGACAACAGGGAATGAGAAAGAAAGGCAGAAACAAACAAAGATAATTAATAGCTTAAGTCTTGGCTGTGCAGGTCGATAGAATGTCTCCCATGGTGCTTTGCTCACATATATCTCCATCCTGTCTCTGAACTGCAGTAATACAGTAGATGAGGAGGATGTCTGGCTGAATAATCCTATTATATTTTCCCCATCACTTAGGAATACAGTTTTTTAAGTATCAACAAAAGTATTTTCAATCATATTAGTTGCCTTTGTTCCAAAGAATGATCCCTAAGTGTAGGACCTTCAATTACAGTGGGAGCCAAATGTCTGAGACTTTTATTTATTTAGTTGTACTTTTATTTGTTTGTTTGTTTGTATGCAAAATAATTTAGCTGAAACATTGAATTGAAATATGATTTTCAGAATAATTTTTTTTTGGTTGTCTCATTTTTGCTTTAATGACAGCAGCCGTCAAGCTAAAATTTTATTTTATTTTATTTCAAATTTGATTAGTAGCCTAGACATAGTACAGAATATCATCTTTATTTACCTTATTTTACACCATAATGTGTTTTCAATTCAAAATTCTAAAACTGTTTTTCCATGTTTAAATAAAAAAAATCCTAGATTTTTTTTTTTACATGGTCTCAGACTTTTGGGCTGCACTGTAGATGTTTATGAATTATGTTTGTGTAGCATTGGAGTAATTCCTTCATAATTGATGGCAACAAATTAATAAATAACGCAGATGAGACAGAGCAGTGGTGTACCACAGAGAGCGAAGGGACTGAGCATGGTATCCTGCACCTCGTAGAATCTCTGCTTATGCGTGATAGGCTGATAAATAATGCTTACTTATTGTAATATAATATGTGATGTACAGCCCACAGAATTCTCTCAGATATTCATAGCTGACTGGAATGAAATGGGCACAGATTCAGTGGGTAAAGTGCAGTGATGTGTGTTGATCTTCTGAAATGAAGAGACAAATAGTTTTTTCAGCATTTTAGGTTGACTTTTAGTTCAGTGTGAATTAATGTTCCATTTAATGTTTGCACAGTGATTGAAAGCATACTGTATGGAACACCAATTACTTCACACTATCAACAAGAAAACAAATGCTATAATATATTTATTATTGTGTTAAAAAAATTTTCAACATTTTTTAACATTTTTGACATTACTACAAAAATAATAACTGCAATAATAGAGAAAAATGAATATTTTTACCGTTGATTATTCTCTCTCTGTGTTTTTTTTTTTGTGAGCAGAGGCACTGCCTCTCTATTCTCCTCAGAGAAAACGCCCCCGGTAAAGAGACCCTGTTATATTGAGGGTCTGTAGGCTATGGATGTTTGATTACGGTGACCATATCCTAACCTTAGCCCATACATTTTTAAATGATGGCACATAATGTTTGATCGTCTTATGATTTGTTCGTCATTCCCTGCAGACTCAAGCATACCTATGGAGCGTAAGACAGGGCTCTTCAATTCCAGGCCCGAAGGCATTCCCGACTTCATTTTGTGTGTGTGTGTGTGTGTGTGTGTCTGTGTTACTGCCCTGACCAACACATGGTTCAATTCAGTCCTGCCTCCAGGGAAAAAGCAGAAAAACACTATGTTTGTGAAACGCCTCACTGTTTTTCTCCTCTGTCTTTCATGGCGTTTTCAAACGAGGGCTTCGTGACATCTTAACCCTGTATCGATATCAGTTATTTGCTTGTAATGTCTCTAACCGAGTGTGTGTTATCTAATACCGCAGTAGGTTCGCGGTAATCAAATTGAACAAGTTTGCGTGCGATAAGTACTCTACCGCAAATGATCATCCGAGGCATTGAGGAAAACATGCTGCACCGGTTCTCTTTGTTGACTCTCCTTCAAGCAGAACCTCATTCGATATTTTCAATATCTTCTGGGTTCCAGTAATGGGCCAAATTTATAATGCACCTGCTGCTGAGGGACCTTGAAGGGTCGAATTCTGAAATGAAGGAATAGATTTGGTGAGTTTTGAAAGGTGACTGCCACTAGCATACATCACCATGGAAAATGGTCACCCAGTGGTACCGTGGAGTTGACTTGGGCCACCGCTGAGTGATGAGCAATCTTCAGCCGCAGCATGGCACAATAACAAAGTAAACAGCCTATGCTGCTCTCAGCATACATAAATCTCCAATATTTGATAAATAAGATTTGCCTGCTGTAATTGATTCCATGTGGAGATCCAAATAGAAACCTCGGAGGCCCTGGTAAATCTAATCAAGAGGGAGGTTAGTCATATGGTGAGTTACCTAAGGCTTTGTAATAATGGATCAACGATTATAACCTTCATAATTACTGGAGACAAACATGCAGATTATTATATATAGCGCATTAGATTCGGTCTGACGTTTTCTGTGCTTTGTGATTCCTCTCCGACAGTCTGCTCTCAAAAACCGTGCGTGCCTGATTCTGGGTGAGGTGCAAATGCAGCATGGATTTTGTTGATAAAAGTGCCCCGCTAAAAGGGATTTTTGAAATATATATCTAAGTTAGATATCCCAGTTGACGCTGTGGATTGCTGGGCTTCTTTATCATGTTGAAGTCTGTGGGAGTTCTTGAGGAAAACATGACAGACATCCACTCACTCGTGAAAATGTGATGCTGTCGTCCCTTTTTAAATCGAACACGGTAAACCCAGAGGCACAAAGTCTCAAATCCAAAGCCAAAACTTTTGCTTCAAGAGAGAAGACAACTTTTTTTTCTCTCTGTTGTGTGCTACTTCAGAAATGTGTAGAATAATGGATCAGCTTCCTTTTCTCAAGTGAATATAGAAATTGCAACAATAGAAAATCTTTATGACTGGATATGCGCTATTTAAATAAATGGTTCATGAAGAAATGAAACTTTTCATCATTTACTCATCTTTAATGAGACTTTCAGTGAATGAGAACTTTAATTTCAGTGTTTCTCACACAAAGGCTTCAGGTAACTTGAAATATAGCACATGACTCATATACAGTAGACCAATTTTATGATACTTTTAGGGTGATTTCTTGTCCTTCCTTAAGCTTCAGTCCATGTTTATTATAATTGAATAGAAAACAGCCACCAGAACATTGTTCAGAATTCTTTTTTTTTTCCACAGAAGATAGACAGTCATACAGGTTAGAAATGACATGAGGGAGAGTAAATTATGACAGAATATTTATGTCTTGGGCGAACTGTCCCTTTAATTGTTATTGAAGACAGGCTGCTAAAACATCTGGATGCTTTGTTAGTATCTTCTCTTTAGCTGTTTTCACAAAGTCTGGAAAGGATAATTAAGTCTGCCACAAATCAGAGGATCAACTTCTGACATCCTGTCACTTTGGTCTCACTCAGGGCTTGACTCTGAATGTGTCATTGCTATTAATAGAACCTTTTCACAAAATTAGGTCGTGGCTCTTTTTCCTTGTGTATTTCCCTAAAGACCCTTATGAAATGTTTAGACATGCAATTTTCCTGCACTGTTGTATTTATTTTTTGGCAATAAGAAGTTACTTTATTTGATTTTATTTTTGTTATTTTATTATCAATTGCCATCATGGAGAAATATTCCTTTTTTAATCTAGATGGTGTAGTCACAGGATCTGCGAGTGAGCTGATGTTAACCAGTCAAACCCTGACCCCTGGGTATAATAAAGATCCCCATTCTAAAGAACATTCTATCTCGAATTACATTATCAAATTATTGTTACTTCTACATGATTGGAAGTTTCATAATACATTGTGCATGTCATTAATTTCTATGAACACAGTGGACAGAAAGAGCTCCTTTCAAAAATCTGTTTTAGATATTGGTTCCAAAAAATAAATAAATAAATAAATAAATAAATAGAAAACTGACCAACCCACACAAAGAACTCTTATAACTCAGTCAGTTTCTCCATCTTGTCAGTACCCATCTGTTCTCAGATCACCCCTCCTGCTGTTCATTATTTTTGATTAAGCATCAAATATGACCTGCTGGAAATGCTTGTGCATATATTGGTCAATTCGCACAAGCCACGCTTACAGGAATGCATCAAAACACCATTTGTTCCTTTTAGAAAGCCATTTATTCCCATTGTCTGTTACAACAGCTTGGCGACCAGAACCAAACTGACACTGCAACCAGTGGTGTGAGCTTGGGACAGGGTGACCAGTGGCAAATGGGTTCAGGAAACCTGTTTGGAAACAATAATTATTTTTGCAATTTTCTGTCTGTCTTTATTTTTTGCAATTCTGTTTGCTAGCAATTTAACAAACTATTTACATGTTTTAACTACTGTAAAATACTGTCTGTAAAATATATTAAAACAGAAAATAGTTTCATACACACCCACCCAAGTCACTGTGACTTTGCTTCATAGCTGTCTCATTCAGTGACATGTGGAGTTCTTACCTTGAGGCCTTCAGTCATTCAAAATATCTCCTGACTCAAAAAGTAGCATATGCACACAGCAGAGGGCTGCAAGTGACTGCAAGACTCCCGCCGTTAGGAAGCCTCTCCATATGGCATCTTTGAGGGTTCTCTTTTCTGTCTAATTAACGACTTTGATGCAAATCAGTGTTCCTCTCTCAGCGAGCACAGGTCAAACGCTTTTAAAACGCCCTCTCCTTGGAACGGCAACCATCGGCTTGTGTGGAAGTTTACAAGGGCTCTGTGTTTTCTCAGAAAGGATGTGAGAAGTTTAATGAGCTTATTATTATGCGTTTTTTTTTTTTTGCAGTTAATCTGCATATGACTATTTGCTGATATGACAGGAGGTTAATTCAAGGCATCTGTGAAAGGAAGATAGATATGTAACAGTTGGAGATTGCGAAGATGAGACTTTCTACAACAAAGGATTACAACAAAAGAGTTAGGGCATTTGTTAAACATACAGTAACATACATGATAACAAAACAAAAAAATTGATAATGAGGACTGATGCAATTTAAGAACCCAGCAGAGCAAAACTTTTACACACTGGGGTTCCAAAGCTAAACAATGAAGTTTCTCTGGAACATCCAGATTTTTCTACCGTTAAGAAGATGGAAAACTCATTTTATTCATTTGATTTTGCTCTTTTGCTATTCAGGACTGATGAAGGTACTTGTTGTCAAGTGGGATTTTGGTGAGAGAAGCGAATAATCTGGTGAGAATTCAGATACCTGAGGCAAGATAGTACATGACCAAAACAGCATAATTACCCATGTTGACATCCTTTTTTTTTGTTGATAGTTTTATATATAGAGGGAAACAACAACATATATAAGACACATACATATTTATTTAAAGCAACTTCTATTGCATGTAGAATTTTTTTAATCAGTTTTATGCATTCTCATCGTGCTTTACTGTTTGAGCTACATTACGCAGGGTTAAAAAATGATATTTATAATTTTAATTAAAA